AAATTTTAAATTCCGCTGTAAACTCTGTTCCGTACGGTATATCGAACCCAACACCTCACTCTCAAGAAAAAGATGGGTGAAAGTCTCAATCTCGAAACTGCCGGTCTCAGCACAACAATGACAACGGGAGGGGAAGGAGAACCCCTTGCATGCATCACAGTGTCAGTGGGTATGCACCGTAGGAGGAGGTGCCACAAAAAAAAGGGAAATGGTCGGGATAAGAAATTCGATCCAGATGGCCCCGAAGAGGCGGTTAGGCCGGTTATCCAGCTGCATATCTCCCCAGGCCGAGGACGTAGAGAATGCATGGTATTTTAAAAAGTTCATCAGTAAGATATTACTAAAGAGTTGGTATTTTAAGAAGTCCATTAGTAATAATTGTTAACGCAAAGAATTATTATAAACTAGGTGGAAAGAAACGTATTGCACCTTGTCTCGTCTTGAAATGCACTACTAATTGGGGCTTTACATATCTCTTCTTTTCCTATAAGCTCTCTCTCTTTCTCTCTCTCTCTCTTCTTACCATCTAAAGTCTAAACTGATAAACTTCACATTCATCCAATCATCGCCTCTCTTCAACTTCACCAAAATCATATTATAGTTAATACCTCAAATGCAGACTCCGATTTCGATGGTTTGTACTCTATTCACCACAAGCACCTCATCATCAAAACTAACACTTGATTGATTGATTGATTCATTCATTCATTTATATGTATATTGATCAATTCATCAGTGAATTAATTAATTATTTGAGAATCTGATCGGTGGCTGATTGAATTCCCCCAAAACAGGGCTTTGAAGAAGAAGCGCAAGTGGATGAGAGGCGGAGCAAGTGGCCGAGGTGGCTGCAACCTCTGCTGCGGACAAGCTTCTTCGGTCAATGCAAAGTCCACGCGGCGGCGCACAAGAGCGAGTGCAATATGTTCTGCTTGGACTGCGTCAATGGACCCATCTGCTCTCTCTGCCTCACTTCCTCTCACAAGTCCCATCGCTCCATACAGGTGATTGAATGCACCAATAACTTAATTTAATTTAATCTCTGATCAAAATTGAGAAGCAATCGATGAATTCTATAGATACGGCGATCTTCGTACCATGACGTGATAAGGGTGGGCGAGATACAGAAGCACATGGACATAACAGGTGTGCAGACTTACATAATCAACAGCGCGAGGATTGTGTTTCTCAACCAGAGGCCACACCCACAGAAGCCGTCCAAAGGAGCCGCCGCTAACGCCTGCCGAGTCTGCCACCGCAACCTCCTCGACTCCTTCCTTTTCTGCTCCCTTGGCTGCAAGGTCACCTCACTATTTCATTCTTCTTCCTTTTGTTTTTCAACTTAAATGCAGTTAATTGTGTTATCTATTGTTTTCCTACCAAGGTACAGGGCATTTGATTCGATCATGATTGTTAGGAGACATTGGATTTTATGATCATGGATGGTACTTTTGCAATACTATATTTGAATTGAATTAGACTATAACAAATGTGGATCTTATTCAAAGTCAAGTGTATACTATAATTTGCCAAGTTTTGCTGGTGGGGTATATGAGATACTTGTAGTTGCATACAATGTTCGAAAACGGATGATTCGGTGAAAAATCAATTGTCTCAGATTTCAGTCCATATTCAAGTCACCCTTTGGATAAGGGCTTATTTCCAACATAGAGTAAAATGTCCAAGTTCAGTATCATTGGTCATTCACTTACCTATTTATTGATTATTTTTACTCTCAGCATCTCTCTCTCTCTCTCTCTCTCGATCGTTTTTTATTTTTATTTTTTAATTTAAGGAAGAATTAATGAAGGAACTTGCTGACAAATGCTACTAATTTACCTTATTACCATTCATGATCAAATTCAAAGTTTTAATAATGAATTATTATGAATGTCTTTCCTAATTAATAGATAGCTGGAATGTCATCAAAGAACTTTGACAAGGAGAAAACGAGAGTAATGGATATGAGGGGTGGTTCCGGGTCGGAGGAGTCTATGAATGCAATGCAATACAAGATCCTTAGCAGCTTCACTCCATCTACACCACCTCGAACTTCAATGATGAGTAGCTATAGAACCACAAAAAGGAGAAAGGGAATTCCGCACCGAGCCCCAACGGGTGGACTTCCTATCGAATGTTGAAAGCCATTATCATGCACTTGCTTGTGCTTATACCACTAATTAATTATACTCGTTTGCTTTCTTTTTTCTTTTCGGTTTGAGTTTTTGTGGCGGTTCCAGCATACCGAGCTGTGGCAACGGAGGAGGCCGATGCTGGAATTCTGAAGTAATTAAGGGAAGTAATAACCAGTCTGAGCCTGGTTTTGTGCAGTATAGTGTCGTTTATAGAATAAAATGGCATGTAATGATATCATCATAATGGGTTATAGGAAATATAGTCTGAAGGTTTGAAAAAATGAATAATAATTGTGTTATGAAGGAAGGGGAGTGGTTAGGCCGCATGTCTGTATAAAGTTTAATAATGTGAAATCGTGTAAATTGGCCTTTTTCATAGTGGTCGGGTTTCTTTTTTTTTTTTTCTTTTTTTTTTCTCTCTAATGTTGTATATTATATCATTATGGGACATTGGCCAGGACTTGTTCTCCGGTCATATTCTTCTTCTTTCTTTATTAATAATAATATACTAATCTCGACGGGCGAAAAAAAAAAAATCTCCTCTCTATCTCTCTCTAAAAAACCCAAAACCCAAAACCAGATCTGCAGAAGTCGGCCTTCCAAGGTGTACATCGGGCTTTGCCGGCGGAGGCCGGCCCTTGATTGCTTGGCTCCTGCCTCTTTTTTTTTCTGCTCCTTTTCCGTTCCCTTGGAGTTGGCCCTGTTGCGGACGGTCGTCTTCTCTTCCGGCGATTTTTCGCGACTTCCGTGTGGTGGCTTCTCTGCTGGGCGGAGGAGGAGCTGTGGTGCGGTTCTCGAGGCGGGACGCTTCCCAATTGCTCGACGATGTTGCTGTTTGGGGGAACCGGAAGTTGCTGCGGTTCGAAGTTGATTCGACTTTTGGGTCGAAGGGTCGTGGTGGCCGTTCTTCTTCTTCTGCCAGTGGTGATGGGGGGAGTAGTGAGGCGGCGGCGCGGTGACTTTGGACTGCTTCCAGGCGTGATGGGGTTGGGGCTGCGGCTTGGTACTCGTTTGTTTGTTCGGAACAATTTGGAGTATTGTGGCCGTGGTGCGGGTGGCCGGATTGGGTTTCGGGGCAAGGGGTTCGACACCGTTAGGCAACCGAGTGGTTTTGGCAGTTTCGGGGTCGATTCAGCTGGCTGCGGGATTCTCTGTCGCCTTGTTTCCGTTGGTTCGGTTTGGTGCTGCTACTTTGGGAGGGCTTGTTTAATTCTAGTTGCTTTTGTTTTGTTAGTAGGGTAGCTTTGTATGTGTGTGTGTGTGTGTGTGTTTGTTCGTTATGTTGTGTTGTTGATGTGTTTTTGGTTTGGGCCAGCTGGCCTCTGTCAGCTTGAGTGTCACTTTATTACCCTGTTGGGGTCCGACACTCAGGTATTACCCTGTTGGGGTCTCTGTGTATTACCCTGTTGGGGTATCTGTGTGGTGTTGTATTTTGTGTTGTTTTTTTTATTACCCTGTTGGGGTCGGATTTAGGCGGTCGGATATGGGAGATCATAGGACCTGTCCTCTCTTTTTTACTCAGCTGTTGGCTGCTGTGTATTCAGCCGTTGGCTGCTGTGTATTCGCACATTTGTGCTTTTTGATTTATAGTACATCTATCGTTTCGAAAAAAAAAAATAATAATATACTAATACAATTCCGTGTACAACACGAATGTTGATTTAAGAAATATATGATAAAAGTTATTTATATCTAATATCAAACCTAATTTTAGAGTAAAAATAATATAAAAATAACACTGAAAGTATAGATTTTCGTCATGTCAGTATCCGAAGCGTGAGAACCTGCCACTTAATTAAGTTTTAACACATCCGAAGCGTGAGAACTTGCCATTTAATTAAGTTTAACACGTGTTGAATTAATATATAAGGATAGATTTCTTTTCTCTTCTACTCGTTTGAATAAATAAATAAATTACCCCCCAGTAGCTCAAAATTGCTTAATTGAATCATGATTGTAACTGAGAATCATGATCTGATTTGATGATTATGAGCCCAAGTTTTGATGGTGAAGTAATATATTTTTGGAAATGCAAGTGCATTTTGTTTCTCATTTAGGCATAATACATGGCATATTTTATATATGCATGTTTTTATAAATATATCTATTATTATTAATAGGAAATAGGTATCTAATAGGGGGTGTCTATATGTACACCCCCTCAAGTGTAAAAAAGGGGTGTACATATAGCACTTTTCTTTGTGTAATTGATTAAAAGGAGGTGTACATATAGCATTGCTCATCTAATATTGTCTTTTGTCAACCAAAATAATAATAATAATAATCAACGATGAAAAGCAGATAGCAGAACAGTTGGTCCAACACTAAGTGTGAATGGTGGTGGGTCATCTCATGACCCAAGAATGCTCTCAAAGCTACAACTTTTGACAAGGACAAAGGGCCAAAATTCCAATTTGAGACACCACTATATAACAATATCAAGAGGATCAAAGAATTAGTATTTTACTCTATTAGGTATCTTCTGCTTTGCTGATTGTACTTCCACTTATTCTAATCTTTTACTGTTAGGAGTTGCATCACTCTGCACTCGCAACATTTCTATTACTGTATGTATTAATTTTACATCTTAAAAAAAATGGTGGAGTACGCAGCATGATTTGGTTTTCTTTTCTCCCATATATTTGTCCATCTTTCGTTAGTAACATGGGTAATTCTACCGTCCAGTAACCTTGTACTTTAGCTTGTACCTACTTATTAATAAATACTTCATAAGTGATTGACGTGTTGTTGTAGCACAAATTATTCTTTTTACCGAGTACCGAATCGAAAGATTCGTTCCCC